CTAATGGCCTTCCCCTATTTCGTTCCCTCTTTCATTGTGAGGCACATGGGTAAGACGGTAGAAATGAACTTGTTCCTCGTAGAAAACCAGCAGAATGGAAATATAGATGGGTTGATATTTGGGCAACATGCCTTTATCGAAAAGAATAGCAGAGAAAATATTTATTGAATTATAGGTACTTTAAAAAAAAACATAGAAATTGACTTCTATTTGTTTTGACAAGGGCATGTTGCCGAAGTGTCACCGCATCTGCATTTCCATTCTCGTGGTTTTTCTCCGAGGAATAAGGCTATTACTACTGTCTTATCTACGTACATAATGCTCCTGGCAAATGCGCTGAACAACTTATCGTGGTGCACATGCAGGTAGTTGTTCATTGAACATGAAGTATCGACCACCTTTCAGTGGTTTTGGATTTGGGTATCGATATGAAACTTGCTGTCATCGCCGTCTTTCGTGAAGAACAGAGTAGGGACCACGACTAAACGACTTGAATAAAAGTCGCGCTACTTAATCGAGAATGCTTAAACGATTTGGCTGATGCCTTCAAGACTTAAAAATCAAGTGAAGGTATGGGACTTCATGGGCTGATTTTTGTGCCTGAAATAGTTGGCGTTCTGATGGGTAGGTCTTTTCGCGCTACCTCCAGACCTTCACCTTCGCGATGCCCGGCTTGGTTCCGCGAGAAGTCATGTCTGTGTGCTGTCTGTGAGCGGTTTTATTATTCAGGATATTTGTGGCTCGCTGATTTAACACGTGATATTGGTTGGTGGCGGAGATGGTAAAGGGAGAACCAATCATGACTTGACCGCGCCACCCGTGTATGTTGTGGCCTTTTAAGAGCCGCGAAGACATTTCCTCCACGTTAAAATGCGCTACATCAAGCAACGCTAAACGAGCTAATTTAATCCGTCTTTCCTCGCACGAACGATGATGCTTACAGGACAAAGATGAGCATGCCATGATCGGCTTGTTCGATGATCGTGGTGCTCTTCCTTCCACGTGGTAAATTTGATGTCTGGTTGCCGTCCTCCCCTCATTCACTAAGGTCTTGTTGCCGTACGACAGTTAGTTGCTTGTTCATCAGTCGGTAGTCTTAACATACTGAAGCTTTTCTTAGGGTATTGATATTGCCAGGTATTGATAACCCACCATTGGGAACAATAGTTCTTAACGCCATGTTTAAATTCCTGAAGTGAAGTGTATTCATGTACACAGATGATTCACATTTTAAATACAGCGGTGACTTGGTCCCGTTCTCACACACACACACATAAATAGACGTGGCGTGTCTCCAGACATGGCGTCGGTCAATCGCGAAGGCGGTTCCGATGGACAGGCGGCGGCGAGGCCGTGCTCAGTATCACTGGGAGACGGGCCGGTACTCGTAGACGGGCTCGTACTCGACGGCCGGCTGCTGGGCCCGCACCACCTGCCGCTCCGGCGCCGAGTAGCCCTCCTGCACGGTGCGCACCTCGGGCGCCGCCTCGGTGGACGGCACCTCGGGCGTCGGGTACTCGGTGGGCACGGGCGTGGGCAG